TATAATACCTTTGGTAGTTAAAGAAGTTAATTATTTTTATAAATTAATATATTTTTATTTTTTAAAGACATTTTATATAATAAATTTGGGTAAATAAATGAAAGTTTTTAAATATTTTAAACTTAAAGATATTTTTGTCCATATGAAAAATTTGTTAAAGTTATCCTGTGTAATCTTACAAAGTTACAAACATGAGATGGGATAAATTTTGTATATAATCCGAAGAAGTGTCAAACATAAGATGGGATTCATAGTATCTTTTTCAATCCAATCTTGTCTTATCCCATTGTTTTTATCTTATCCAGTCTTATCCTAACCTGCATCCTAAACGTGCTGGAAAAGCATAGGAGAGAGTTTATCTACCTCCACATGTCTTGAAGAGTTGAGTATATGGTATTGTAATAGTCTGACGTCCCTTCCGAGCCTCCATGGGCTTTACTGTCTCCAGACTTTATCGATATGGTATTGTGGTGGATTAAGCAATTTGCCAAGTGGGTTGCCATCATGCACTGCTCTTGAGGAATTGGCTATCGCTGATTGTGATAATCCAATCTCCATTCCAGATGATTTGAGGAGGAGCTGGAGCCTTCCTCGCCTGAAGAAGCTGACTATTGGCGGTTTCTCAACAAAGCTCCAGGAATTTCCAGATCTGGGCTTCATCGGATCCTCTCTTGAAGAATTGACTTTGATTGCATGGGGACAACCAAGAGAACATCTGCCGGATCAAATTCAACACCTAACTGCCCTTGAGAGTCTCGACATTAGTGATTTTGATGGACTGGAAGCTTTGCCAAATTGGTTTGAAAACTTATCCTCTCTTCAAGTTCTGAAGATTTCCAACCGCAAATCTCTGAAACATATGGAAGCCATCCGATGTCTCTCCGAATTAAAATGGCTTTCTATTTATAAATGCCCTGAGTTATGCGCCAGTGGAAGTGGTTCCGAGTGGGACTGCATCTCTCACATTTCGGATATCCGCATAGACGACAGATGGATCCAACAAGATGGAGATCCCACTGAGGTATCTTCAGCCTTTAGCTATATATAATATTAAATCTTTTTTCTTTAATTCCCTCTTCTTCCTGATTGAATTCAATTATGCATTGACCTTCTTTCAATCTTTTAGATAGTACTACTAAATCCCTTTTTATTTTTTCCATTTATTTATAGTACTAGCAACTAAAACCAAATTTATTATCTACTACCATTATTACCTACAATTCAAAAGCAAATTAATTTGATAATTTCTTTTCCCTTCACTATATGTAATTTCAAGTTTTAAAATGTCATACTAATCATTTCTCCATTCAAATGTTCTACTACCATTCTAGACTCGTATTTGGCTACATCAGGATGATGATAATGAGCAATTACCAGTGCGGGCTACAGGGTTGAGACACTTCATTTGTTGCAGAAACTAGTAAAAGAGAAAGTAAAACAAGATTCAAAAATTGAAGGCAGGCATCATGGCTTGGTAGCCCAACCCAGACCAGACTTCAATGCTGATTGTGAGGTTATATTTTATTTGCCAAATTAAAACCTATTATGCAATTGGTATAGAGTAGCATCAAAGTTTACCACTGAACTCACCAGTCTTATTCTACTAGTGCATCACTTCTTTCTTCTACCAACTTAACTATGTGGAAGGTTGTTGCTGATTTTTTTAACCTTTGTAAATTTGGTCCTTCCAAGCATTTTTACTTTCTCTTAATGTTTTGTATTTGCTTGTGCAGGATGAAAATAAAATTCAAAGCTAGGCATAAAAGAGGATACAATTTTAAAAAATGAAGTTGATCAAACAAGTATTGTGAATGCATGCAGGCCTATCAAATGTCAATTATCTCATTCTGTATAAGATTTACTTATCTGATGTGTAGATAATGTATGTTGTGTATAAAGGCTGCATCATTTTGCAGGCCTCTGGTTCTTCAAATTAACCTGCAAGCAATTAGTCTCTGAAACCTTATGTGATGTTGGTGACACCTTGCTGAAAAGCCAAGCACAACAATCACCTCAAAAACCATGGAGACCTTTTGATTCTTATAAGATCCATACATGAATTCAGCTAAACTGTACTTGTAAAAATTTCTTTCAAAATTTGACTGCATCTCTATGATCTGATGCATTCTTGATTTAAAATTTTGTGAGCCTCATTGTTTTTCACCTTTTTTTTTTGGTAATGTTATACTTCAGTTACAAGTATTTTTTTGATTAATTAAATGATTGGTATTTGACAACTTATAATTTTCATTTGTTACTAACTATTTAGTTCCTCATTGCGTTCCTCTAACACATCACTTCCCATTTCTTAATATATATAGTTGCAGACTTGTAATTATAATAAATTTTGAATTCAAACTAGGAAGAATCTGCAATTAAGGGTGATTCAGACCGTGAAGATAGAAATGGAAAACATGACAGTGTAATTAGCTTTTGAATTTTTTGTTCATTTAAAGCATTGGTTTTTCTTTAATTTTCTAGACTGATGTTTGTGGTTATGATCCAGATTGTTGGTTGTTTTAATTTGTCCACAGGAATGCAAAACATGGATTGGAGTTCTGTTAGGTGTTATGGTTTCCATAGGGTTTGATT